TGCAGAAAGCCTGAGGTCCTTTAAATCAAGACTAAAAACACATTTGTTTAGGATTGCCTTCAACGGTTCTAGTTAAAAAGTTCAACTGAAACATCATTAGTTTAACTTTTTTCTTTAGTCCAACTGTTTTTAACGTTCTTTCTTGTTTCTTGATTTTTTATTATCATTTTTCTTTTTTTCTACTTGCTTTGATTCAGTTTTATTTTCCTATATTTTAATCATGTAAAGCACTTTGCATTGTCTTTGTACTAAATTGTGCTATACAAATAAATTTGCCTTGCCTTGCCTTTGTTTGGTGAGTGAAACTGAGAAGTTTAGCCAAAAAATAACAATCAGACAATATTTTTTCAGACAGGGGGCAACTTATTATTTGCAGAAATCTATTAAAAAATATTTAAAAGCTGCTTGTTGTGTTTATGCTGTTTATTTTCCTCTAATGTATGCCATTGTTGGAAATATCTGAGTGATACAAATGGACAAAAACAAAGGAAGATTTGAACATGTCAAATTTATATAGAAAACAGAAGCACTGATTTAGGCATAAGAAGAAAAGTTACAGGCAAGTATCCCTTTTTTTCACCTACAGTATAGATACAAAAACACACTGAATATTGTCATAATCACATCAATATGCTTGGTTTTTATGTTGGTGTTTCAATATTATGTAAATAGAGGCAAGACATTTATATTTAATTTGTGTATTGAATAAACAACATTAGGATAATTAAACATATCAACCAACATTAAACAGGATCTTGAGTTTTTATGTATTATTTAATATAAAATATATTAACATATTTTGTCATCACCTGATTTGCTGGGAAAATTAAACTTTACAACATAACCTGAAACTAGAACAGGCCAGCTAAGATAAATTTAGGCACATTCTCCAATCACTTACAAGTTTCAAAACAAATGAAATCATTGTGTCGTCATGTCATTCCTTTGGACTGAATAAATCCTTCCACCTGGTGACTTTTCACTTCCTGCCTACTAGCCCCACCCCTCTCTCCATAAATGGTCAACAGGAACTGTTCATCACAACAAAAAATGTTTTCAGCCAACGTCACACACAAGTATTGCAAATAATTTCCTGTAAGTCGAAACTCTTTAGATAAAGTTTCAGCTGTATTAAAAATACAGTTTATTAGCATTTATTTTTACTGTTCAAGAGAACAACATTTCCTTAAAAGAGGTACTGCTAATATTTCTAAAGGAAGCTGAGCTTTGGAAAACTACACAGCATTTGGTAAAAAGAAACCAATTTTACCTACATAAAGTCATCATATAAGAATAATCAGTTTGGATTAGACTTTAGCTGAATTCAGATAAATCTGAAGTGATCTGAGAAAGGCCATCAGATTGTTCAAGTCCCACATTGAAAACTTCCCCTTCCTTCTTTCACAGGACAACCACTAAGATTCCAAAGATGAGTGATTCCTTTTTATAAATAAGTCTTACTTAATTTGGGTCAGTCTGCAGGATTTTTAAGTTATTGACATACATCCAGCATATTATAAATCAAGCAGTTTGGTCATCCTTAAGCTGTTGAAGTTAGGCCAAACTTTAAAGTGAACTCCTCCGGCCAAAGGAGGGCAATGATTTAAGAGGCATCCTCCAGATCAGTTAAATCACATTTTTATTTCTTACAAAATTTACAATAATAACAATACTTTGGATTTGTAATGCACTTTATATTTAAACAAATCCCAAAGTGCTAAATAGTAAAACAGGTAAGTAAAAATACATGGAGAGCATGAGAAATAAAAAGTGAAAAAAAGATGAAATAATCAAAGACAATAAAAAAGGGGAAGAGTTCAATTAAAAGCTCTCCTGAAAACGTGGGTTTTGAGGCCACGTTGAAAAACATCCACAGTCTGTGGGGTCCTCAGGTGGCCAGGGAGAGCGTTTCACAGCCTGGGAGCAGCTGAAAAGAAAGCCCGATCTCCCATTGTACGAAGCTTCGTCCTTAATGGTTTCAGCAGATATGTTGCAGTAGATCGGAGGTTACATGTTGAGGTCTGTGGGGTGAGAAGTTCCTTAAGGTAGGGTGGGGCATCCCCATTGATGCACTGGTGGGTAAGGAGGCAATTCTGGGGATTGGGGGCTCGGGGATGTCTGGCGCCCGGGTGGTTAGTGTGCCATAATTGGCCTATGGGGGTGGACTACCAGGGTTGTGGTTGCCTAGCAGCCATGGGTATTAGAGGACCCTATAGATGTGGGGTCCTGGAATGGCTGTGACTGGCTTGGGGCGGGGTGGGATTTTTACCTGCTCTGGCGTCTGTGGGGGCGGGTGTGCCTTTAGTGGGGGGATGTTGTGGGGGAGGCGGCCCGGGGGGGATTGTCCCTCCTTTTTCTGTCTTGGGCCCTGCAGCTTTGTAAATCCTTTATAAACAAGCATGCGCGTCCATACATACCACGGGAGTTTACTTCCAGGTGTTCACCGATACCGATTAAAACTAAATACTAAGCTGCAGCTACAGTTATTGAAAAATACCGTTTGCTGTATAGAGTTCTTAACCCTCACCTGTTTGAGTTATGCTGATTAGTTAAAGTTCAGGCATGCTGCGGTTGTCCCGTAAGAGACAGATACAGATAAAGTTGGATAATTGATTTTTATGTAAAATAAGTTTCTAAACTACATAAGTTTACTCACATTCAGCACCAACATACAGGTCCTTCATTTTATTAGCATATTGTCATAATGTTCATTATTTTCCAGAATGTAATGATAAAACTTGAACATTCATATATCTTAGAATCATTGCACACTAACTGAAACATTTCAGGCCTTTCATTGTCTTAATACGTATCTTAAGCATACAGCTCATGAAAACCCAAGATTCCGTTCTCACAACATTAGCATATCATTAAAAGGTCTCTAAACGAGCTATGCAGCTAGTCATCTGAATAAACAAATTAACTCTGAACACCTGTGAAAGATTTCTGAGGCCTTTAAAACTCCCAGCCTGGTTCATCACTCAAAACCCAAATCATGGGTAAGACTGCCAGACTGCTGTTCAGAAGGCCATCATTGATAACCTCAAGCAAGAGGGTACGACACAGAAAGATATTTCTGAACGAATAGGCTGTTCCCAGAGTGCTGTATCAAGGCACCTCAGTGGGAAGTCTGTGGGAAGAAAAAAGGTGTGACAGAAAATCTGGACAACGAGAAGAGGTGACCATGAGGAAGATTGTGGAGAATGGCCGATTCCGGACCTTGGGGGACCTGCTGAAAAGCTTTATAGAGATAAAGATTTCATTTTTCAGCACCAGCCGACACCTGCTCACAGTACCAAAACCACTGGTAAATGGTTTAGTGACCATGATATCACTTTGCTCAATTGGCCTGCCAACTCTCCTGACCTGAACCCCGTAGAGAATCTGTGGGATATTGTGAAGAGAAAGTTGAGAGACCCAAGACCCA